AAAAGTGACTTATGACCGTTCTTCACACTTATGACAGTGGCAGCATCTCACTGTGATCAAAATTCAGATGCTTGGCAACTGACTCATATTTATGATGGCTGATCTTCTGACATATAAAGTCAATGGGGAAGCCAAATTCACTTAACAACCATGTTACTAACTTAGCACTGCCATGATTCACTCAACAACTGTAGCAAGAAAGATTGAAAAACGGGGCAAAACTCAACTGTCGCGCTTAGCAATGAAAATGTTGGGCTCCATTATGGTAGAGGACACCATTGCACCATCTCTGTGGCCTTTCCCCAATAGTGCCATCATCAATCGTCTTGTTTCTGATCTGTGAAAACTGAGTTTTTATGAAACTCCCTAGAAATGACTTACGCTCTCTGAAATTCAGGAATACTGAAAATGGCTTGCAAGACACTGTTGATGTAGCAGCTGTTCCCCATGTTTTTCATGCCGGTATATCCAGGGCCATACATTGGTTTCAGCTTCATGCCTGATTCTTGGATGACTTCCCATTCAGAAACTCGGGGTTTTATGTCATTATCTCTCAGGCCATTTTCGGTCTGAAAGCAAAAAACAAAAGGGGGGTGGGGAAGCTTTTTACCAACTTACAAAGCCAGGGCATTTAAAAGAAAAATCACACAACTTGCTTAGCTACGAACAACTATTCACCCCAAAAAGAAACACCTCTCCGCATAAAAATACCTAATTTTACAATTGCTGAGATATATTGTATAACGTGACTATGTCTCCACCTGCTGAATTATCCAAGTAATTGAAATCAATACATGGATCCCACAGTTAAGTTGCATTTTCAGTCAATCTTACAGTATTTTATTTATGTATTTTAGGCTTTGTATAGTTTTGATCTTTTTAAGATGGCAAGCGGTCCAGAGTTACCCTGAGGCGAGATGAGCAGCCAATACATTTTATAATAGCAATAGCAGACTTATATACCGCTTCANTTTTTTTTTTTTAAATTACCTCTTCAAAATCATCATGCGTCTTATACTCCGGTGCGTCTTATAGTCCGAAAAATATGGTATTTATATCAGGATCACATGATCCCCTTTTGCGACTTTCTGACAAGCAAAGTCAACGGGGAAACAAGATTCACTTAATAGCCATGTTACTAACTTAGCAACTACAATGATTCACTTAACAACTGTGACAAGAATGGGCATAAAACGGGGCAAAACTCACTTAATAACTGTTTTGCTTTGCAGTAGAAATTTTGGGCTCAATTGTGAATATAAATGGAGGATTACCTGTATTTTACTAAAGTAGAGGGAATGAATGTTTGGCCCAATTTTTTTTTCCTTTGGTGTGCATTTTGCTAGTTTCTGTTCCAATAAGTTTGCTAAGCTTTTTAGAAACATATTGCATTTATTCTATTCAATATCCTATCAAAATTGGCAGAAAATCATGTCGCTGTTATCCAATATCTGGATGTCCAATTTTAGGGATGCTCTCTTGAGCATTCAGAGAGTCATGTACCATTTTCTCCTGCCTCGGCCTAACATTTGAACAAAGCTATTGTGACATCGCATAACAGCACAGAGTTTAATTTTCAACTCTTTGAAGGTCCAAAAAAATAATTCTCTCTTGAGCTTTGCAAAAGTCCATTGTCAGGCCTGCCTCATTCAACATCCAAGAAAGGAAACCCCCAACTTCAATTAGTTAGAGATAAGGTACTTTTACTGGATATGAAAACAACAAAAGTGAAGCAAGATCTGAGGCAAAAAGGCGCGAAATTGTACACATCAAAAGTTACACAAATCCCTCCCCCCAATTACCCCGGCCCAATGGCCAATCTCCAACCCCCAAGGGTGTCATGTGAGGTGCATCTTCAGGTGGCCTCATTCAGCTGGTATGCAGAGACGGTTGGCCCTGACCAAACCCAAACATGGACCTTCAGCATGCGCAGAAGATGGTGAGAACAAAACGCCCTTTTTTGAGATGTCTCCACCAGCACGCTTCCCCTCCCAAATACCATGCGCCCCCTCCCTCCCCGTTACTATGGCAGCTGATAGCAAGCAAGCAAGCTAGAGGCTGACATCCATTATGATCATAAGTCATAACAGTCATGTGACTGAAACAATTTTGCGACTTTTGTTTGTGGTGGTCATTAAGTGAACGCAGTGCTTGGAGAATTAACACAGTTAATAGTTTGTTATGGGCACGGTTTTGCCAAAAATCAGATGTCCCTGTTTTGAGCAAAACTCTTGTAATAGAGGGTCATGTGACCACAGGATGCTGAAAATGGCTTTCAATGCGGCCATGTTAAAACCTGACCTCATTGTTGAGGTCCAGCCCCGATCATAACGAATGTATGTGTGTTGATTTTAACCTGTTTTTTATTTTTTATTTTCATTTTTTATTATTTTCCTTCTTCCTTCGTTGTAAGCTGCCCCGAGTCCTCCGGGATTAGGCAGCCTATAAGTCGTACCAATAAATAAATAAATAAATAAATGTTGCCAAGCACTCAATGTTTGGTCATGTGACCATGAGTACCTTTGAGGGCGCATCATAGCTTCCACGAATCATTAAGCAACTGGTCATAAGTTGAGTAATATCTGCGCCAAAATTATAAATAAAAATTCAGCTATGATTTTCAAAGAGACAATTCTCTCACTAAAACAATGATGGCTGTTCTCATCTGTCTTCTATGTAATTCTCAAGTGGAATATGGTGGGTCAAATACCTTGTGTTGTTCCTTCATCACATGCTCGATGAGCTCAGATTTCACTGGAGGTTTCGAATACTGGCCTGAAAGAAGCCCATGTCCCAATTTAGCCCTGCAGCAAGAGAGAAGGGAGAGGGGAAGAGAGAGAAAGCATACCAAAAGTTACCCACTAAGTTGATAAAAGGGAGAAAGGACAGGAAGAGGTAAGTAAGTTTAAATCACCCATCTGTCAACGGAAATCTAATCTGGACACATCAGACATTCCCAAGAAGACTCAAATCTCCTCAAGTCCCAAAGGTGCTTTTCTTTTCTTTTTTCTTTTTTGAGTTGGAAAAAAAAACTTTATGGAGATTTTAAAACATTAAATACAAACACCATATTTTTTGGAGTATAAGACACACTGGAGTATAAGATGCACCAAGATTTTGAAGAGACAAATTTTTTAAAAAAAAGTTTTTGCACTCTGCAGACCTCCCAAACACAGTCTGTTTTTGGCAAAACAGGCCCATTATTTTTTTAAAAGGGCATGAATAGCCTTTAGGAGGCTTGTAGAGTGCCCCAGGGGGCTGGGGGGGGGACCCAAATGAGCAAAAAAGGCCCATTTTTTCAGGAAAATGGGCCCATTTTTTCTCAAAAAAAGAGCATGCATAGCCTTTAGGAGGCTTATAGAGTGCTCCTGAGGACTGGCGGGACAAAATTGAGCAAAAAACAGCCTGTTTTTCGCTCATTTTTGCCTTCCCCAGCCCCCGGGAGCACTCTGGAAGCCTCCTACAGGCTCTGCACAATCATTTTGTGAAGGGGGTGGGGTTTCAGGAGGCCAAAAAATGCTGTATTCAGTGTATAAGACACACCTGGATTTTCAGCCTCTTTTTTGAGGGGAAAAAGGTGCATCTTATACTCCCAAAAAATATGGTATCTTTAAAAAACACTTTTGTATAAGTTACAATCCTTTTTGACAGTAATAGCATGGTACTAACAGGAAATTTCAATCACCCAAATAGAGCTCAAAGCAGAATTGTTCCTTCTGGAGATTATTAAGGGAAAGTATACAAAAGAGATAAAATATTTAATTTTGCACATAATTACAGCAGTGAGAATAACACTTGCACGGTGTTGGAAAAGTGATACCATCCCGACACACTGTTTGATAATTTAAAAGATTCTTGATTGCACAGAGATGGAAACCTGGATCTGAAAGCTTCCCAGTTTTCCCCACCTAGTTGAAAGTTCAAGATCTTGCCCCCACACCCACAAGTCCAGTCACATGGTCCAATTTCCCACTGCCATGCTAGCAATTCCACCCATCCAATTCCGGTCAGGTGCAGAGACAAAGGATGACCTTGGCTTTCTAGAAAGAATTTTGTTATGGCTACATAGCATCTCACTCCTTACAATTCCCCACTCCTATTTTCCCACAATAGAAAATGCATAGAATAATAGAAAGTGTGGCAGGCCAAAGATCCAAAAGAAAAAATGACTACAGGCCTGACACTTTCTTTCACACCCTATAAAGTAGGAGTCCTCAACCCACCCACCCCTGGTCTGAGATCTGGTACCTGCCCGGCCCATTGGGAACCGAGCCACGCAAGAGGCAGGCAAGCGTGCACGCATGTGAAGCTGCAAATCTGCAAGAGGCACCCGCAACAAAACCATCCCCTCTCTCTCCTCCCCCACCTCATTCCCCCCGCCACTGGTCCACAGAGCCAGAAAAGTTGGGGACCGCTGCTGAAAAGTAATCAACCACTTACATTTGAGTATTAAAATCTTGTGTTGGGTCCAAAGAAGAGTAGTCAAATATCCTTGGAAGGTTTCCCACATACCTAACATAAAGAACAACAGAAGGCAAATGGGAAAAGGAGAAAATTACAAATATTAACCACTTTTATTTGAAAAAGACAGACATTTTGGAACCTCATAGTAATCCATACAAGGTTGCCTTCTTTTGCAGATGGGCATAATCTTTGACACAGGACAAACCAGACTTTAAGGTTACATGGACCCTCCCTGCTGCAATTCATCACTCCTGGACTACAACAGCAGGAAAACTCGATTGCGTTCATTATTCTACATTTCTACCGAAAGGAGAATTAATTTCACTGGGAAAATATTTGCGGCCCAATAATTTTTGAGACTCTGTGTTTTCGTGATTTTGGTTTTACGACATGCAGAAACACTGTCACATCAATACCAAAGAAAATAAAGTTCCATATAAAATGTCAGCTCTTTGTGAAATCCATGTCAAGCTGGTATTCTATTGATGTTTTGATAATCTTCAGCTAGCGACAGGGGTGATCAACTATGGCCATGATGGCAAACCTATGGCACGCATGATGGTCATGTGGGTGCTGGGCAGGGAACTGGACTTTCTTGAGGGTGGGGAAAACCTGGAAACTTTCAGATTCGGGTTTCCCCAGATGTGCCAATGTGACATCTCTAATAAAATGGAACTTGAGGAAACTCAAGTCTTCTTTCGTTGGGGGTGTTACTTGGAACTCTGACAATTAGCATCTCATATTGCAGTGTGCCCTCACATAAACAAATAATGATGTTGAAAGCAAGAAAGCAACCTATTGATCTCCAAATCTTAAAAGTTTAGGGAAAAAAGCCTAGGTTTTCACACAATTAAATATCAATTGTCCTCCACAGGTAAATATATTGTAGTCTTGTCTACTTGCATCACATTGTAGGTAGGTAGTCCTCGACTTACAACAGTTCATTTAGTGACTGTCCAAAGTTACAATAGCACTGAAAAAAGTGACTTATGACCGTTCTTCACACTTATGACAGTGGCAGCATCTCACTGTGATCAAAATTCAGATGCTTGGCAACTGACTCATATTTATGACAGTTGAGGTGATCCCCTGGGATACGTGATCC